CCTTCTGGCATTCTATCTGGCATATCTTCTGGCATTCTATCTGGCATATCTTCCGGCATATTATCTGGCATATCTTCTGGCATTCTATCTGACATTCTTTGTGGCATTCTATCTGGCATATCTGCTGGCATTCTATCTGGCAAACCTTTTGGCATTCTATCTGGCATATCTTCTGGCATTCCATCTGGCCGTTGAGGTCCAGCGGTGCCCACTGAGCTCGGAAGGTCCCAGGTTGAGGTCCAGCGGTGCCCACTGCGCTCGGAACCTGGCGGTTGAGGTCCAGCGGTGCCCACTGCGCTCAGAACCTGGCGGTTGAGGTCTAGCCGTGCCCACTCAGATCGGAAGCCGGCAGTTGAGGTCCAGCAGTGCCCACTGCATGCGGAAGTTGGCGAAGAGATTGGCGACGAGTTGGCAAGGCGGAAGTGGACGTGGAAGTTGATGCAGACATGGTCAAGGAGAAACTGGAGGAGGAGGAGGCGCAGGAGGAGGAGGAGGCGGAGCAGGAGGAGGAGGATGAGGAGAACAGCTCTGATAAAATCTAACAAACCTCATCTGGCAGGTGGGGAAAAATAACCACCGTAGAAAAAAATACTTTACTTCGTGTGATCCAAACCATGACATTTATACATTTTCTTACTGGCAAATCTTCTTGCATATCTTCTGGCATTCTATCTGGCATTCTATCTGGCAAATCTTCGGGCATTCTATCTGGCATATCTTCTGGCATTCTATCTGGCATATCTTCTGGCATATGTTCTGGCATATCTTCTGGCATATCTTGTGGCATTCTATCTGGCATTCTATCTGGCATATCTTCTGGCATATCATCTGGCATTCTATCTGGCATACCTTCTGGCATATTATCTGGCAAATCTTCTGGCATATTATCTGGCAAATCTTCTGGCATTTATCTGGCATTTATCTGGCATACCTTTGGCATATTATCTGGCCAAATCGTCGGCATATTATCTGGCACAATCTTCTGGCCTTCATCTGGGCATCTCTTCTGGCATTCTATCTGGCATATCTGTTGGCATCGCTATCTGGCATATCTCAGGGCATTTTATTGGCATATCTTTGGATTCGATCTGAAATTCTATCTGGCATATCTTCTGCATTCAGTGCTGTTGAGGTACAGCGGTGCCACATGAGCTGGACAGGTCCGCGGTTGACACTGAGCTGGGCAGGTCCCCGGTTGAGGTCCAGCGGTGCACACTGAGCTGGGCAGCTCGCAGGTTGAGGTCCAGCGGTGCACACTGAGCTGGGCAGCTCGCAGGTTGAGGTCCAGCGGTGCACACTGGGCTGGGCAGCTCGCAGGTTGACGTCCAGCAGTGCGCACTGAGCTGGGAAGTTGGCGAAGAGCTTGGCGACGAGTTGGCAAGGTTGGCAAAGCGGAAGTGGAGGTGGAAGAGGCGGAGGCGAGGAGGAGGGCGAGGAGGACAGCTAGTCGAGGAGGAGGAGGAGGAGGGGGGCATGGGCTCTGATAAAATCTAACAACCCTCACCTGGCAGTTGGGGAAATACACATAATGAAATCAGATTTACATGTATATATAAATAAATATATATATATGTATATGTGTATAATTTAAAATTATATATATAAATTCAATTCTATTTCAATATTTATATGGGTTAGATTTGACGACCCGTTGGCAACCACAAGTTTCTTTGACTTTTGATGGTGTAAAAGGATACTTTGCTTCTTAGCCAACAGTAACAGGACAATACATTTCATCGACCCCACTGATCTGCAGGATTGTTGTTGAGTAGGAAACCAAGGTTTTACCAGCCATGACCAGTTCATGGTCCCAAGTCATTGGGAAAAGACACATTTATCACCCCAAAGTGTGTGGGTGAAATCCCGATATTGTGCCATATTTTGTTGGGTGCAAATCTACCCAGAGCATCCTAGAGCCATCTTGTGGCGGCGTATCCGCCACCAAGGGATCGCCTTTGTAGGAGAAGGGAACGTTTCGGTTGATTTGTGTTTATAGGGGAACTTAGCTTTTCTGGTGGTGTCCATACATGGACACCCAACAAGGATCTGGGATGATGGTTCTCCACATTGAGGGATCATGTAGATATAATCATATAATTAAATATATATATATATTTGAATGTTACTTTTCACATTCCGCTCCAGCTCAAAGGTACGTGTCTCCCTCAAAAAAAATGTTTTGCCCTAGATTTAGTATATTATATGGTTGGGATTGCATAGGTATATATATATATATATGATGAAGCTCAAAGCTACCTTGCTGGCTCACTGCCTCCTTGCTAGCTCAAAGCTACCTCGCTGGCTCAGTGACACGTAGCTGGCTAAATGCTTCGTTGCTGCCTCAGCGCCTCGTAGCTGGCTCAATTTTTTGAACGAAAAAAACAAACGAAAACACAAGAAACACATTGAAAAAATTGAGCCAGCTACATGCCCTTGAGCCCGATGTCCCGTCATCAACCCGGCCAATACATAGTAAGTATTTGTTTTGATGCTCTCAAACTCGTTCGCCAGCTCAGCGTGACGTAGCTGGGTCAATTTTTTCGAGTTTTTTGTTTTTCGTTTTTTTCGTTGAAAAAATTGAGCCAGCTCGATGCCATTGAGCTCGCTCGATGTCTCTGAGCTAGAGCGATGTGTTTGAGCTAGAGCGATGTCGCTGAGCCAGCTCGTTGCAGTTGAGCGAGCTCGCACAAACTTCCCAATCTGTTAAATTGCCAGGTTCTGTCCCCACTGAGTAGTTTAGTACTAGATATGCTACCTCTGAAAAAGCCCCAAGGTGACTGTCAAAGACATACTCCTGATGAAATTGAGCCAGCTACATGTTTTGAGCTAGCTCGAAAAAATGGAAGATTGTGGATTGCCACTTTCAATATATATATATATATATATGCACATCTATATATATATATAAATACATACATATCCAGGGGGGTGGCTGAACCAGCAATTAGATAATTCATGGCCCGGTTCATCTGACACACATCCCCTGAAAAAACGGAGCACTGGATGAATCTGGAAGGCACGCCAATTGAATCCTTCAAGACAATTGCTTAGGCTATGTCTCGAGTTCCAGAGATTGATCATATGGAATGAGAATCTTGCAAAACCCAAACTTCTGGGCTCATGGCAAACTGATCATGACGATTTGTTCTGGGAACGTTATTGAAGCAAGGAAACATGGAACCATGCCTCTGCCTGAGTCAAATCAGCCGTTGGCGCACATGAGCTTCTTCGTGTGTGCAAATCAGCCTATGGCCTCTCGGCACCACGCCTGTGGTATTTGAGGGCCACAGAGATTCTCACCACAGATGTTGGCTTGGAGGAGCTACCAATGTGCTCGGCAACCTATGTGCTCCGACAGGAGGGCAGAGTGGAAGCCATCATTTGTCTTCATGTGGACGATGGGTTTGTGGTTGCTTCAAAGAAGACGTTAGTGATGCTCAAGAAGAGAATTAGTGAGAAATGTTGCATAAAGGAATGGCAAGACTTGTCTGAGAAGCCAGTCACTTTCTTGGATGTAAAGACTAGCTATGTCAACGGTGTCTTCTATGATGACATGTCAGAGTATGTCCAGAAGATCGACTCTGCGGAAGTCAAGGGCCCACTGGATGGAAAGCTGGAAGGGCCTGAACTGTCTGCATTTCGCCGTCTTGTGATGCAGTTGCGTTAGCCAGCGCACCTAGTCATGCCCGAGTTCCTTTTTGCAACTTCCCACTTTTTCTGATTTGAAGCATGCCAGCCATGTCTTGAAACAAATGAAGGCTGCTGCAGAGAATGGTGAAGCTTCTTTGAGCATCAGGCCTCTCAAAGGAACCCCTTTGTTTGTTTCCTTTTTGATGCATCGCTGGGAAAGAATTCTTCAGCGAAAGCTCAGCAAGGGGAAGCGCATTTTGTCACCACCACTGCAGCGTACCGGAGTGAAACTGCCGCCAACCTCATTGAATTCCATTCCAACCGAGTTTCACGGGTAGTGCGAAGCAGTTTGGCAGCTGACGGATGTGCAATGGCTTCTGCTGGAGACCGAATTCTTTTCAACAGAGTACTTTTTGATGCCTTGTTTCATGGTAGGATTTCAGTCACAGCAGCCAGTAGAAGAGAGATGAAATGCGAAGGATGCCAGGCACAGACGCAAAAGGTTTGCACGACCATGTGCACAAAACCGGTGGTGTGGCCACAGAGCGTCAGTCAGCTCTAGACATTTTGATGATCAAACAGTTAGTGGAAGATGAAGTTTTGGGTCTACGTTGGACTCCCACATGGAAACAGCTTGCTGATCCTTTGACTAAGGAAATGTCTGGGAGTCTATTGCAGAGTTTTCGTCGGAAACCTGTCCTGTGCCTGATTCAGACACCTGAGGACGAAAAGGAAGAGGTGCGTAGATCCAATTTGAGAAAAGCTCAGCGAGAGAGACGCAAAGCCAGAATGAAGACTGGCTGATGAGATGAGTCAACACTTTTTCCCTCCGATGTGCAGAGGGCAGTGTTTGCTTGATTCTTGACTCATCGCCAGGTGCGCACAAATCGAGAAGTGCAAGAAATCGAGAAGTGCAACTTCGCATCGCCCAATCCGGCTGCATTTTTAACACTCAAGACATCGATGTTCATTCAGCAGCAAAAGACTGCATTTGCCAATTTTGCTTGCCTGCATTGCTGTGT